AATGATCCTTTCACTGTATCAAAAGTTTTAATCATCAAATGCCGGTCGATCTTGAAAGATTTATTTTTTTTTAACAGCTCATGTGACTTTGAAGCTTGCCGATGATATACAGCGCGTACACTCAAAAAAATGATCTTGCAATAATAGCTAAAATTTTCTAGGTGTAAAAAATTAACTAAAACAGATAAATGATTAGCAACTGTTGTGATATTGCATATGTAATTACTTAATCAGTTTAGATGACAGAAACAGAATATATATCTGTATTGTTTGTGAACTTTAAAAAGAAAGTTTCTCTAAAGCGCCTATCTAAGATCAATCACGTGTTCGATTATGCAATGAATAACATTTAGCAATGGTACCTAAATTTTTCAGATGCTATTGCTAGAACATTACTGCTATAAATTCTATATGTGACAAACAATGTTTTCACAGATACGAAAAATAGCGATACATTCTTGTTGCGATATCTAGAAATCTAACTACATCAGCGAAATATTTTTTTGAGCGTAAAGATAGATTTTTCGAAAAGTTACATATTCAAAATGATCCTTTCACTGTAACACTGTGATATCCTTGAGTCTTCTGGAACTCCTGCATAATGAAGACTTAAGGAAATTATAAAACATTCAAAGAAAAGAAAAAAAAAAAAAAAAACAGAATTATCTCAAAATTAGAATCGGAATGCGAATCGGTGTTTAAGAGAGATTTATCGAGATTTATCGTCACTCACCGAGGTGGTCAAAGGATCGCCGCGATCGATCGATGTTACGTGACCGCGTTGTTTATATTGCGTGATTTCTGCGATCGATTATGATGTATTAGCAGGCACTTTCTTTTTACGGCGGGGAAACACAAGTCCACCGCCACGCTCGCGAGGCACACGCGTCGTTATATAAGCGCGATCTTAATTATAATCAAAGCGATCCCGAAACATCCTAGAGTTCCACGAGCTGCGAATGCGGGCGGCGGCGCGTGTGCACGCCCGTGTAAGACGAGTGACTCGGATAATAACTGGCTATTACAATTTAACGACACGGAAGACGGAGAAAGTGCATCTGGCAAAGAAAGTATAAAATCATGACAAATAAATAATTGCGATATAAAGCGCGTACGCAAAAGTGTCACGGCGAAGTATTATAATTCATTCTGCAAACGCGAAATTATATTATTAAAAGCTGAAATAAACAATGCAACTTCTGCCGCGATCATTTCTTTATCCCACTTTCGCAGGTCGTTACGCTAAATATTTATATGCATATTCCGGTGGCGCATACGAATTACTTTACACGACGTCCTCGGAAATAAGAGCCGAAAGCAAAAGTGTTTTGCCGTCGCGAAATTGCGGCGCGGTTGCGCGCGAAAGGCGACGGAATTTTGTCAACGGCCGTAAACGCGTAATAAAGAAAGAAGAATATACATAAATTATGCAATGTATCCCAGGTTGCATAAGCTTCAAGTATTAGCATATCCACGGCGAGTGTCATCGCCGCGAGGCAGGCAGCGATAAAAACACATCGGGCGACAGGAATTCACGACGGCAGAGATGGCTTTCAATTCGAGAGTGACGCCTCGAATTTCTGGCGTGCCTTCCTTCTCGCCGAAATTTATCGGACATAACCGAGCGCCACGTGCACGACGCCGGTGCACCGAGAATCTCGCACCTCGCCACGATCGCGATTATCCGCGGCATCCGCGGACACGCGTCTGCTTGCACAGGCGCTCGCGCTTCCCACGCATTCGGAATCGACGCTGCAAGTAGGAAGTCGGGCTGACGCTCGTTCGCGAATTGAAAACTGCGCCGTTCCCGAGTGCAGATTTTCCCGCAGATTTCGATCCGCGAGATAATCTCGATCTAATAACTGAAAAAATCCAACTCTTCGAAATTCGACGAGGAGAGAAACGCCGGTAGATAAAATCTTCCCGCCGCTTGTTTCCGTGTGCTTAACGGAGATCGGAATTCCATAAACGAGAAAGTTCTGACGTAACGCGCCCCCGCTGGATGCTCGCTAATTAGACGATTGTGCAACGAACACGCCCGCGTTCGCGCCTGCGAGCGTTTTGATCAAAGATCTCGCGAGCGACGGGGGCACGCGAATGATAATCCCGCACTTCTCTCCACGCTCGGCGGTCAAACCGATTCAGCAACGCGTGGCGTTAATTAGATAGGAAACGGAAATGTCTAATTCCGCGCGCGGAGCGCAGTAATATGTTTACTTTCAAGACACGACTCACCGTGTTCTATAAACGACGCGCAATTTATGAAATTGTGCAAATTATCGGGAAAGCTGCATCGCACGCCCTCCGCGATCGCGGTAATCTTTTTTTTTTTTTCGTGTTATCGATTACTTCGGCATACCAGCATCGGAGAAATCATCGCGTTTAAGCAATTAGAGTGACAATCGCGAAGCGAGTCTCGCGGTGTCGATAATGAAACAAAATACTACGCGGCGCGAGAGATAAGATTCCCGACTTTATATATAATCGCGGTGAAAAGTCGTGGAAGAAAGCTCGGCTGGCAACAACATTGAAATACCGACGAGACCACACGCTGTTTAATTACTTCCTCGACTTAAAAAAAAAAAAGGAAGAGCCGGGATGTTGTCGCGTTTCTTTCAGCAACGCGTGCAAGTCCGCTGTCAAAGTTTTCGCGCGTGAATATCTGCAATTTAAACTCAACAGAGAAGATTCGAAAGATATCGTCCAAATTATATCCTGCTTGAAACAGATTCGCGACAAATATGCATTCTATCGAGGCTCGCGCAATTTGACGGTCGGACGGTTATCGCGGGGGGGAAGAAAAAGAAGAAAAGAGAAAAGACCTTTTGCTTTCGGCGACGCGGGGAGCATTTATACGCTTTATTCTTATTCCGCGCACACGTCGCCATCCTAAGCCCTGCCCGCCAGGGACAATGCCATTGCCATAGCGAAACAGTGAAAGTATGGTCATTTTGCGCTCGCTGTCGCGCGCACTTCTGCTCGTCCCACTCGCGTGTACGCGCGCAGTGGCACACGCACTTCGCATTCGACACTTCGCATCATCGCGACGGTCTCGTTTTCAAGCGCTCTCCGCCTCGCGACGCGCAAACACGGTGAAATCGCTTCTGCGCGCGCGAAAGATGAAAGGTAACGTATTTCGCAATTGTCGTCGTTTTTACGGTTCATTAATTGCGATGCGTTTTAACAGCCGAGAGACGATCTCTTACTTCGTTTTATTCCATTACACTGCGAAACAATTTCATCGACGCGGCAATTTTTTCAGCGCGATGCGGATTCTCTTAGGGTGTGCGATCTGCCTTCTGTCAGCGGTGGACGCGAGGACCGCGATAATGCCGCCGCCGTGGGCCGATCCGTCGAGCAACCCCTGCGCCGCGCAGCCGCGCGGTTGGCAACTGCTGTACTGGCCGGCCGATGGAAAATGCTACAAAATATTCCAGGCAGGTGGCAATTCTTTTCTCTTTTTCCATCACTGTGTCGGTATCTCGCGCACGAGAGATTGACAATGTCGGCCTCGAGAGATCCGCTTCGATTTCTGAAAAGAGCGCGACTGTGTTCCACTAGATCGGCGCTCCGTGTCCGGAAACCATGGAACTCGGACCGGCGGCCGGCGGCGGCGGGACGACAGCGGAGTGCAGATGTCCGCCGGGGACCGCGCAATCGCCTAGGGACGCCCTGTGCCATCCGATATTCACGAGAGCGTCCTGCTCCAAGGGTCAGTTCTTCGCGCCGGTTCCGGACGCGCCCGGCAAAGCGAGGTAATCGAGCTTTCCTTTCCATTCCGACGAATCGAGCGCACGGGCGACGCTCATCAGCAACGAACTTCGTGTCTTCAGCGCGAAACGTCGCTGGGGGACGTGCCGCGAGCCCGAGGCCTGCGACGAGCCGGGCGAGATCTACTGGCCGAGGGACGGCAAGTGCTATCCGAGGTTCAGCAGGGGTCCCTGCCCGCGCGGCGAGCTCCTCGTCCTGGGCGAGGACGGTCTGGCCGCCTGCTCGTGCTCGACGGGCGGCGAACTGGGCAGGTATCACTGGCCGGGCAACGGCGGCGGCTGCCACGAGCATTACACCAAGGGTCCGTGCTCGGAGCCCGGGGAGCTCTTCCTGCCGGGCGGCGCCTGCGGCTGTCACTCTCAACTACCTCATTATCACGAGCCGAGCGGGATGTGCTATGAATTAGGTATAGAAAGCCCCCGGCGTTGTGCCATTTGGAAAATCGAACGCGATAACAATTGCGAAATTATCCTTACACCTCTGTTTCGAAATTCGCAGGCGGCATCGGGCCGTGCCCGCAGGGACATCACTTCGCGGTGACGACGACGGACGACCGATCGTCGCAGGAGGGCGTCGTGCGCGCCGGATGCGTGTGCAAGCCCGGCCACGCGTTGTACAAGAACGGGCTTTGCTATCGGCTGCACACGCGTGGGCCCTGCGAGAGCGGCTACATGCTCGTCAACTCGTCGGCCTGTGTTCCGGTGCCGTGCAAGCGCGGCAGGCTGTACTTCCCGCAGGAGAAGACCTGTTACAGGATCGGCATGAGGGGGCCGTGTCCGAGCGGGCAGGTGGTGCTGTACGATTACAACGCGAGGCCGTCCCTGGACGGGGTGAGTTACAACGGCGTGTGCGGATGCACGAGCGTCATGAGGGACGCCGGCGAGTGCGCGAGGGACGACGGCGACGACTGCGGGAGCGCGCCCGGCACGGTGAGGATCGGCAAGGCGTGCTACAAACTGTACACGCAGGGCCCGTGCACCGCCGGCGAGTGGCTGGTCGCTCAGAGAACGCCGCGGAACGGCCGCCTGTGGCAGAGCAGCGAGCCGCGGCCGAAGGCCAGATGCGAGTGCCGGCCTGGCTACAAGAGGATCGCCGACAGCTCGAAAGAGGCCCTGGAAGAGCTGGAGAGCAACAGCCTGATCTCGCCGAACGGCTGCCAGCCGCCCGCGGTCGGGCTGGCCAGGTTTCTCAACGACAATATTAAGTCGAGGGCGAACTAGGCGGCTCAATAGGTCGAGCGCGGTGAGGTCTCGCCGCGAGCGTTCGTAGGATTTAAGTACATTTATTTTTTTACTTATTGTTAGCGATAAACGTGCGCGATGTGTTCAAACCTTCTGTCGAGAAGAACGATAGAATGATGGTGAATTGATGTACATAATGTCACACGAGTTATTTCTCAGTTTTTCTCGCATTGCTAAGCGAGACTTTATTTATTGATAGTATTTTTCTCTCTCTCTCTTCCTTTCTTTCCAATAATTCCTATATGTACATTAAGTTTCTCGATGTATGAGAGCAATGTACTTAAAATTTCGTACACTTTAGGTATCTCGATCTGAGATCGGTGTACAATTTAACTGTCTCTTGCGGACTAATTTATTAATTTCTTTAAGAAAAATTAAAAATTTAGCACTAACATCCTGCGACGGCTCTTCTATTATATTTCTTGATTGTTATCATATGGAGCCTTACTATTATATGTGTTTTTATTTATTGTATTCTATATCTTCATTGTAACACTGCTTACGATTCATAAGATCTGAAGGTTTTCGAGAGTTATGTGCCACTAGTTTTAAGAGTTATCGAACATAGTGTATGAGTGCAGATGTACTTACTCGTTTTTATGCTGTAAGTCGCGGATTTGTTGCTGCATACCGTCCGCTTGTTGATCCTTGTGCACTAGTTCTCGCTCCAATGCGGCAATCTTCTCCGTCTTCTCGTCCAATGCCACCTGCAAAAGTAATGAAATATAATCAATGTTACGCATTGATAATTAAGAAGTAGCGACGCATAGCTGCGATAATCCACTCACCAACAATCGATCCTTCTCTTGATCCAAGTGTGTCATGCTCGAGCGCAAAGTGTTAATTTCTTGTTTCAATTCCTTGATTTGATCATTCGACTGCGCCTGTTGTTGTTCCACACTCTTATTGCGGTCCATAGCCTTGTTCAGCTCCGATTCTGCCTGCGACAGTTGGCCCTGCACATCTCCAAGTGCTTGATCCGTTTGATCTTGCAGAGTTCTAAGACAAAACAAAACAAAATAAAAAGAAGATTAATAAACTAATCGGTCGCGCTAGTGCGTACATTAAGTATCATAAATTGATATAAAAATATGTATATAAATAAATTGAATCTCTGCTAGATGCTCAGAATAATTATCATTTTACCATGATTGTCTTTAGTATAGAATATATGTTCGATTCTTCAAAGTGTGCTGAGTTATATTAGTTTTTACAATTAAACAGAAATAGAATGAAATGTACAACAGGCTTTAATCTGCGCCCAGCGCACATTAGTGCATCCGACTAAATTCACTGTGAAATTATATTATTTAATTCCCGGAAAAATGTAATTACCGTAATTGGAAATATTGCGTCCGTTGTGCCATTAATTCCTGCTTGGTGCGGTGTAGCTCTTCCTGCACGTCGCCCAACTGGTCCTCGAGGCCGTTTATCGTCACCCTCCTCGTGCCCTGAGTAACTAACAGGTCTTGCCGTTCTTTCTCCACGCGTTTCAATCGATTCTCCGTCTCGACTAAACTCTCCTTCAGACGAAGCTGTTCGCTTGTGTGCGTTTCCGACATCATCTACATCCCGACATTACCCAATCATGCACTCATGATACACACATCGCCATATCCAAGTGTTGGAATGCATTAGCAATAAGTTAATATTCACATTATATTAGCCGCGCATGTGGCTGTTAGACACATATAGTTAGTAAAATTGCGAATGAGATGTTTAAGATCGAGTTATTAGAATAATTAAAGTGTCGAAAAAAATCAACACGTAATATTTTAGCTAACTTAATTTATAAATCGAATAACCTCACCTCAAGCCTTTCTCGTAACGCATCACGCTCCTCTATCAGTCGCTGCACATCTGCCCTGGCAGTGTCTCGTTCCCGTTCCAGACGTTCAAACATCGTCTGCGCAATAATCCAAGTTGGAGCGAACAGAATATTTATATCTCTATGAATTATATATAACTTCGAGTACCTTTGTCGCGCTAAGGTCTCCGGTGGAGATCGGTGAACCGGTCACGCAGGTACAAATACAGGCAGGTTTGCACAGGCTGCAAGGTATGCAAGGAGCATACGTTTGTCTCTGCTGATTCTTGTAAGTCTGCAATCGTGCTTCGAGATCCTCCTTCTGGTGATAAAATTCTTCCTTCTCCAGTTGTGCTTTGCTCAAAGCTTGCTCCTTATCGCCTAACTCGCGTTTTAATTCATAAATTCGTGTCCACAAGTCAGCCTGCAATTTATCACAAACTGATAAATTTTGTACAATTTCTTATAGGTTCTTTAGATTCTATTCTTACATTATTTTTATCCGATAGTCTGCGCTGCTCATCTCGACAATTAATGTACTCTTTTCTGTAATGATCTCGTTCTGCCTCCAATCGCTGGATTGACTGTTGCAGCTGCATAGAAAATATCTCTTTTTGGTACTATATTCTTAATAAAATCAATCGCTATTTAAATAAACTACTTACAGACAAAATTTTTAAATCCGCTTCGTCAATCTGTTTTTGCATATCAAAATTGTTTGTATCTTTTTTAACTTCTGCGTCTTTTGCCATTGAATGATGATTTATTTCATATTTTTCGCTGTTATGGTTCTTGGATGCTAAAAAAATATAAAACGGGTTTTTTATGTCCTATAATAAAATTTTTACACGATTCTTTGAAAAATAATTATTCTAATATATTGAAAGTTAACTGAATTGCGCGAAAAATCAGTTTGCAAATTAATACCAATTTTTTTCTTCAATGTTTTTATCCCTTTATTCTGATCATTCTTTTCCCCCTTTACTTTTCTCTGTGTTTGATTATCCCCTTCGTTAGTTTGTACAATATTCTTCATACGCATTTGTTCTAATATTTTATTAGTAGATTGCAACAGATTAATATCTTGCCTTTGGCATTCGTTTGTTTTAGTCAGTCTTTCTATTTCATCATTTAAACTTTTCTCTGTAATATTATTTTGAACCATCACTTTGGACATAAATTAATTGGTTCAAGCTGTTAAGAAAAAAAAAAGATTAAACAATTTCGACATACCAATGATTGTTAGTTGATTGATTCTATCGGACATCTGTTTCTTTTCATCTAATGTAGATTCTAGAGTGCGTTGAATGTTATGTTTCTCAAGCCTGCATGCTTCTAAATCCGCTCTCAATTCCTGCACCTCTCTACGTTCTACGGTTAATTCGCGTTCTAGGATATGTACTTGTGTCATGACGTCTTCTAACTTCTCCTGAACAAGTATATAAGTGTAAGAACGGGAAAATTTTGAAAATATATATAAATAAAATCGTTACATTTACCTGAAGTCTACAAACTCTCCTGTTATTTTCTTTGACTGTAGAGTTGCAATCAGCTTCGACAGCTAATGCAACATGATCAATATCCTTCAATTCTTTTTCTAGCTCCTCATTTCGTGTTGCTAATTTCATTGCCTGAGACATGGCATCGTGTTGTTTATTTAGAGCTTCTGCATCATTAAAGAAAAATTAAATATATAAATTGTTCATATACAAGTTAAAAATTTATGTAATAACAAAATCTCTCTTTACATTATTAAAATTCTTGCCTTTTAGTTGCTGTTCCAACTCTAACTTGGCCTGTTGAAGAGTCCTCACTTCATTCAATTCCATAATGTCATGAACAGCGCCAGATTTCTTTTCCATCTTCTTGCAGATGCAGTCTTTGGTAACTGCAGCATAAGAACGGCCACCTTCCAACATTTTTCTCAATCGAATTATTTCTTTTTCTTTCGTGGTTAGCTATACAAAATGTTTTATTTTATAGTAATGTGTTAATGGATAACATTTACGTATTAAAAATACCATTACCATGCATCAATGTGATTTTTAGCATGCAAAATATTAACGATTATTGGTACACCAAGTATTTTCATGCATGACAGAAACATCCCAGAAATGTGTACAAACAAATTGATGCTTAGTATACCTGTTTCTCAAGAGTCTCTACAGTTTCAGTTTGTAATAAAAGCTCCCCTCGTAATTTTGTTACCTCCTGACTTAAACAATTCATTTTATGATCTGCCATGCTCATTATATTCATTATCTTTGGTTCTACACTGTTTAATTTCGGTAGCGAGCTATTGCTTCTTGGTCTTGGCATTGGTTCAGCTTCTAAAACTGGTCTTCGAAGGGGGAAACAGGGACGCTTTTTAGCAGCTATAAAGATTTTATATAGATATATAATTATTGAAAACTAAGGATATTAAATAAATAGTATTAAATATTTTACATAGACATTTGTAACAAAATAACAGAGTGACTTACCAAGTCCAGCATTAAGAATAGTTGGTTTTAAACATTTGCCTTGAAGCTCCAATATTTTCTTAGACTTGGCAGCTGATTCTTTCTCCAACTCCTTTATCTTATGTATGTTACGGGAGGATGCCAATTGCAGATCATTGCATTCATGTTCTACCTTATATATCTGCTTCTTGAGATCCCTGACTTGCTTTTGATGTACTTCCTTAACCTCTAAGAGATCTGCATGAAGCTGGTTGCATTCCCGCACTAATCTTGTATTATCACACTTGTAAGGATCAACTGTCAATTGTAACCGATTACATTCCTGCAGACAGCACACAATATTATCATGTTGTATATCGGATAAACATTAAAAATGATTCTATGATTGAACAAAATTATTAGCAATATGATTTTTAACAATTGTACTATTCATTAATAAAATTATGATGCAAGAAATTGTCTCCTTCATAATTAATCTTTGTCTTGAAATTAGGCAAATAATTAGGCAACTATATTCAACTGTTGTTTCTCTTCATAAATTCAGATAAAACTTGTATTGGAATAGCACTATTCCTAAAACATACCTCAATGTTCTCCTGAGCAATAGTTTTAAAATGTTTAAAACTGTCAGTAGTTTGAATAAGATCAGCCAGTAAAGCCTCTATCAAAGGTAAAGCATCTAACGATAAAGCATGCTTGTATCCCAAATTATCCAGATGCTTTCTAACTGTCCGATACCTAGTGGCGACATTATATTCTGTTTCTCCATTCATCCTCACACAATTGATAAAATAACAGACACAATTTATACATTAATAAGTATAGTACCAAGTTGTTTCCATGATGGTTAAAAAACATAACCTACAGCATCCATTGTTGTATTTAAATATATATACATATATTATAAACAACTGAATATATGAATATATTTTAATGTCATTATTGTCAAATAAGTGTCTGGGACTGCATTGACACTATAAACATGTATGAGTACACTGTAACAATCGATTTTTCAAACCAATCATTATTTAAACCTTGCAACTTGTTCACTTAATAAAATATACACTAAAATATACACACCTTTCTTACACTAATAATTAATTTGTCTATAATCTTAAAATTAAACGCACGATCTAGCCAGTAGCATTAAAAGCAATTTATTTTTGTTGCACTCCAATTTGAATCATTAACAATCTGACGTTTACTCACGAACTGTTTGAGAATTTAAAAATATTACCAATCTAACGAGCCAAACCGATTGTTCCTAGATTGAAGTCTAAAGTTAGAATCACGGTGTAAGAATATAAAGCCAGCGGCACACGGTACGTTATGGCTGAATTCCCACTGAGTGCGTCGCGTCACGCGTCATCCAATCAAAAACACATATTTTATATGTGTTGTATAATAAATATTATACAACACATATAAAATATGTGTTTTGATTGGATGACGCGTGACGCGACGCACTCAGTGGGAATTCAGCCTTATTGCTTACTGGATTGATTGCAAACTAGTAAAATACTAGAAATGCACCATACAGCATACAGTATTTTTAGTAACTTACTAGCTTGCAATTAATCCAGTAAGCAAAAACGTACCGTAATCCGCTGGCTTAAGTCATAACCAAGCCCGCTGACGTCACGTGTTCGTGTGCGCTCGGCTTTCGATTTGTAGAAACGAGCGGACATATGTTTTGCGTCTCCTTTCCACCAAGCCTAATATCAACCGGTTTTATAAGGCAACGTTCCGCGCGTCTTGACAGCAAAAATGCTTTTCTGAGTTTCGCTTCGTTCAATGTTTGCTGTCGCATAACTTTTCTTATCACTATGTGTTTAATAAATATGTAAATGAATTTTTTAATCGATCTTAATTATAAACTTTTATAAACCCAATTGTTGTCAATTAAAATCACACATTTTAAAATAATGTTACAAATCAGACATATTAACGATAAATTGCACTTTCTATATCGTTATCAAAAATAATTAAGAGAGAAAAACAAGTATAATCACAGCAAAGAGAATGTACACAACAATTGTCACGACATATATGATATTTCCAATTGTAAACACTAGTATGTGCCTTATACGCGATCTAAGGAACATAAGAGTTTCATAACGTCTGTATATAAAAGTTTGTAATAAATAAAAGAATTTTAATTAAATATTTTTAAGTATATACAAGTGAATTACGCAAAGTAAACATGTTTCTTATATTAAAATTAGTATTAATAATTTTAATAAATAAAATAAACGAATATATCACGCAAGATGTAGAAATAACATTACTGCCGATGTGGAACCTGACAGGAGCAGAGGAGGTACGAGCGTCTTACTGTAGTATTTTACTTGTTGTGCACAACGTTTAAAGCATTATTCGAGAATTATGAAATCTTTTCTTAATTGTCAATCAATTAGCAGATATCATTAACACTAAAAGTTTCCGGAAAATTAGTGCAGTTGAACCTGCGTAGAAATGACCAGGTTGTATCGTCTGAATTTGAAATATTGAAATATAACGCAAAAGGTGTCACTGAAAAGTCATCGGAGGTGAAAGCAGCAGATCTTTGTTTCTATGTTCACAAAGATCGTATCAGCTCTGCGGTCATCAATTTTTGTCAAGAACATGGGATCGTCAGTAGTATCATATGATAAACGAGCTGCTTTGAAATTGTCTTGTTTTTACTTATAATGTTTATTTCTCTTTATTTATATTTAAGCATGACGTAACAACACACACACATTTTTTTTTCTTAAATAGGAAGGACACGTTTTTGTGGAAAACGACATATTAGAAATTCGTCCTTTGCGTAACGTGTTTGCGCCTTTGTCCTTCAGCGACGATTTTTGCGCTAGGGAAAAAATTAATCAATCATTCGGCAAACCTCACCTTATTAAAAGATCTCTGCAACATTTCGCTGATTCGGATCATAATCAATTGCACAATACCAGATTGAAACGAAGTGACGTCCATAAAGTACATCAAAAAGAGCAACAAAAAGTAATCATAGAACTGGCCATTTTTGTTGGCTTTGAAGCCGTTCAAGCATTTCGCGAGGATCGAGGTATGAATTTCGAAGAGATACGCAAAATGATGTTAGAGTATGTGAATCATATGCAGACTTATTTTGATCTTCCGAGTTTGGGTGCCACTATTGATATATGGTTAATACGTTTGGACATTCTGGAAAATCAGCCGTCAAAATTATTAGTTGATGAAAATATTAACATAATGCTCGAATCATTCTGCCAGTACGCGAAAAATCTGAATCCTCCAAATGATGACCCGTATCACTGGGATATTGGCCTTTACATAACCGCAGTTGATCTTTATTATACTGAGACAGTCCACTTGCGGCCTATACGGAAGAGACCTTCTTCTACGGGAAACGCTTACCCCGATGGCGCATGTCATCGGGATAAATCATGCGCGATAGTAGAATTTTTTGGAAATGAAGTCGGAACATCCGGTATGATGTCATCTCTTCATGCTGTTCATGAGATCGGCATTCTGTAAGTTTATATATGTAGGCTTTTATTTTTGTTATTAAGACTAATCATCACGGTCGTAACAAATAATAAAGATCGAAACTTTATTCATACTTTAAGAACCGATCCGACACATCAATTTGCCGTATCGCGTTTTGTACAATTTGAAGTCAAAAGTAAAAAGACTATTAAAAAATTTGATTGTTCAATTGTTTAGTACAATAACTATTAATAAATTATAAGATATATAAAAGTATTTTAAACAAATAAAACAAAAAAAACATATTTAAAGATTAATAATATATATGTTTAACAGTTTAGGATTAAGTACCGATTTGGAAGACAGAAAGGATCTGAAATACATAATGTCACCTGAGCGATTTTCATGGCAATATATTGTGCGATATGATGGCGATATTATTTGGTCTCCGCTTAGCCGTCGTATGATAAAAGAAAAGTTAAAAGACAAATTGTGTCTTAAAGATCATGGGAGACCAATGCTAACAATGATAAATTATTCCGACAAGGATCACAAGAATTCATTATATGAGTTCAATAATTCGCGTTATCATGGTTTACCAGGGAGAAAATGGACCGCCAAAGCACAATGCGAATTACTCTTGCGCAACAAGGATGCGAACGCAGTCACATTGCATGATATATGTCAAAATTT